TGCAGCGGCAAGAGCGGCATGACTATTAAATTTTTAATAGCCATGATCGCAAAACGACCCTGGATTTTGCGCTCGGAATCTACGTCTCGGGTTGGAGGAAGTGCGACAGGCAAAGGCAAGGACTCCTCCGTCTGTCCTGTAGCCTGCGGCAATTCCAGTTTATGCCTATGAGCTTCGGTTTTAACGGGCTCGGACTTCACCGCTTCAGGTTTAACATCCGTANCGGAATCTACGTCTCGGGTTGGAGGAAGTGCGACAGGCAAAGGCAAGGACTCCTCCGTCTGTCCTGTAGCCTGCGGCAATTCCAGTTTATGCCTATGAGCTTCGGTTTTAACGGGCTCGGACTTCACCGCTTCAGGTTTAACATCCGTACGTGCACCAGATGTCGTTTCTGTTTTAACTGCAGATTTAACCGCGGACAACGGCACACGCGGTTTGTGAGTCTCTGGCTTTACATAGGTAAACGAGTCCAGGCCTACGTCACCTACAGGCGTATCAGGCGCAACCGTCGTTGCGGAATCGACACACCCCGGATGTTCTGCAACAGTATTACGCACAACCGGCACGGCCTCAAGGGACACCTGACCGTGTCTCCCTACGAAACGAGCCTCCTCGTCTTCGTTATTGCTACTATCGGACTCATATCTGTTGCGTCCAGCACGGCCTCCACGTCCGCGAGAGCCACGCGCACGGCCCCCAAACCCGCGGCCATGTCCGTCGGAGTCTCCGCTGTCACCAGAATGATGACGACCCGCCTTCTCTTTGCCGGACCAGTGGCGTCCGCCACCGCCACCACGGCCATGGCGCCCACTGCGTCCTCCTCCACGGTATTCACTACCCGAGTCCGATGCAGACCACCCGTCACTGGAGTCACCGCCGCGGTATTGCTTCCTACCGGAGTACCCGCGGGCACCACCACCTCGATCGCCTTTACCGGCCCGTCCGCCGTGACTACCGCGGCGACCCCCACGTCCGCGGCGGTACTCACCGTCCTCTGATCCGCTGGACGGCGGGCAGTCCTTCCGTTTCCTGGACGCCAGCGCCATCTTCATGGCCTGGTCAAACGTAAATCCGGACCCCTGCGCCATGATAGTGGCGACCTCCCTGGCGAGAGATACCGAAACGCCTGTTTCTGCTCGGGCCGGTGCGGCAGCGTTCCCCAACCGAGGAACATCAGCGCCCGCCTCTTCTAGCAGGGCAATGTCCGCGCGGTGCTGGCGGACGCGCCTCTCACGACCGTCTCCTACCTCGTCGTCGGTGGAGTGCTGCCGGGTCGGAAGAACAGACGCACCACGGGCTCTCGCCGCAGATTCCTCCTCCGCTAGGCGCTCCGTATGCTCACCCCGCATGCGGCGCTGCTGCACCGAAGCCACGCTAAGCTCCTCCGCCAGCGCATCGGCCGTTGTTTTGGCCGCAGCCACTTCCCGTTCCCGCGCACCCCGGGCAGCTCTCAGGTTGTCCTGCGTCACGCGGTACTGGGCCTCCAAGACACCCAGCGACGACCGGGCGTCGGCGATTTGCGCCTCGAGCGTCGCACGCACTTCCTGCGCCGCGCGTAGTTCTTGCCACTTCTGCTCCACCACTTCCCGCTGCGTTTGCACGGACGTGCCCAACTTCCGCGTATCCGCACGGACTCGCGCATGTTGGAGGCGGTCCTCCACTTTGAGGCGCTCGAAATGGCTCTTTGCCTTCCGGTGCCGCTTACCGAGATCGGCAACCTGTGCCGCCACAGTCGCCTGCGCCTCCTTACGTTGTTTGAAGGCGATGAGTTGAGCATCGTGCTCCTCAACCGTCGGAGGAGACAAGCGCGGAATGACGGGTGAAGCCGCCCGCTCGTTTCGCACGCCCATCATCGGTGCACGGGACGACCCAGGAGCGCTCGCACCAACCTTACCGGAGCGCACCGCACCCGCACCCCCGGCTGGCGTGGCAGCCTTTTCTTTCTCGACTCCGGCCGCCACCGGTCGGGCAGGACGCGACGACTTCGACGACCCCGGCGAGGACGAGACGGACTCCTCGGCACCTTCCGCAACCTGCCGGAAATCGGGCGCCGCAAGGACCGCGAAGCGATTGTGTGCGTTAACATTGATGCCACGCGAAACAGGCGCACGACGAGAACGAGATTGGGAAGCCGACGGTTTCGATTTCGACATTTTCGACTGTTTCGACTTCACGCGGACGGCGCTCGGGGAAGAACGTCCCTCGACAATCGCCCGGCGATGCGCCTCTAGAGCGAGCTCCGCGTCCTCCAAGGACTGGGCCAGCGCCACAGACTTTGCCCATTCCGGGTCCGAGTCTGTATCCCCAATACTAATGTCGCGGGCCAGCTTCAGTGTGGCCTGCAAATCCGGGTCACCATGCGACTGGCGTGCACCCAGCAGTTCCGCGAGCAACTGCTCTCGGTCTTGCACCGACCA